ATTCCTGCAAAATATTTAGGCAGCAATACCTGTCAGGTCTATACATCTATTCCTGTTAAATTTAAATTTTATACAACTTTCCTTACTGTAATATACAGTATCTCTTTTGTCCTGTTGGATTATTTCATTTTTCATGGAGAAAAGTGATCAATAGCTATCCAACAGAATTCTGTTTTTTTTATCCCCTCTCTCCTTCCATTATATGGCTCAGTTTCAAGATTTAATCGATAGGCAGCCACCATTACTACACCCAGTACCCTTCTAACACAGTTCAGTCACTGACTGTTGATGCTTAAAACACACAGTTTTGAGGCTGGCTTGCTGTTTTTGGAAATCAAGATACTCAGAGGTTGTATCTTTTCAGCACGCTCGCCACCACCTGACACACAACGTCAGTCAGTCCCAATACTATAATTCAATTAGTTACCCACCACTTCGGTAACAAAAATAACAAACCCAGTTGCGATTTTACACGTTGTAAGAATATTCACCCTGAGAACACAGAGGAAGTGCTTAAAAAAAATTCTGATATGTTTTCTCTTCATATACAGCTTTCTTCTTTTCTCTTCATCTCCTCCTGGGTACCTGGGTTTGTATCTACTATTTGACCTCACACTTGCTTTGTCAGTTGACCTGTTCACGCCACAGTCAGGTACTGGTGATAGAAAAGCCCAAAAAGGCTTGTAGAAAAGAGGCAAGCAGCAATCCACCAGGTGAGGAAAGACAGGAGTCCCCGGAACAGGAGAGGAGTGAAAATATTCTTCAAGCTTCCCAAAGCCATTGTTATTTGTAATACAGTTACTTTCATCTTTCCATCAGCAGGTGGAGACTCAGAATAAACTGAACTGGGAAGCAGACTGTTTTCTATTGGAGTGTCAGAATTCAGTTCCGGGTAGATGCCCCAAGAATAATTACCTGTTAAAAAGAAATGAGTAATAGATTTTTGCAGAGTCAAATTCAAGTTCTGTTTTTTCTGTCACTCTACAGATCATCTTAAATATATGTTTCACACACAAAAAAAGTCCTGAAGTTTTATAACTTAGTGCTACTACCGGTGTTCAACTGCTTGGCTTCCTGATTGTACTAGTAAGCTGTTAGGGTAGGATTCATCTTACCTTTTGACATTCTAACACATATATGTGAGCCCTGTCAGCGCTGGGTATGATTCATCTCCCCACATGTAGATGTCTCCTCTAGAATGGGATGAACCACAGCCTAATAGAGCCTATCTCTTTCCGTTGACATTTTGCAGTGACAATGCCACAACTACACGGCAGGCTGTGAAAGAACTGCCTCACAAGAAAGAAACAAAAAAAAAACCGCCACAGTGACATCAGATGGCCCAACAGTGAAATGAACCCCATATCTCACGATTTCTGTTCAAAAAGCCCACTTCAGATCGAAAAGCTGGAAAAAATTCCTTTAAACAGATGCTTACAAGTTAAAACAACCATGCTTTATATAACTCCCTTTTAAAATACTTTTTTAAAAGACAAGTATTTCAACAGAAGTAAACAACGTAATTTATTGGTTTACACAATTTATCAGAAATAAATCAAACAAGTTAGCATACACTTGAAAGATGTCAAACACAGCAACAGAACAGGATAGCTTAAAAGCCACACATCAGTTTGTTCTAAATAGCAGGAAACTACAACGTATTTCTGTACTGCAAGTACCTGCACATCTTAATTCTCTTTAGTAAGCTGAAAATACAAAAGCCCTGTGCAGAACAGAACACATTTTTGTTGATCCAATTTTGCCTACCTAGTGTTTTCAAGAGCAGAGTTGTGTGAAGGAGCATTACCAATGGTGCAACATACTGCAGTGCAATTACACAAAGATAATAGAATACTCGAGCCACCTGGGAGAACAGAAGAGAGCAATTCATGAGTTCTGGCTGATCAAAGCAAAGCTTTATGAACAAGTCTAGAAAAAACAACAATTTATTAAAAAACAGTACTTATGCATTAAAAGTTGTTTTAAAAATTTTCTAGCACATCTTGACATGTGACATATTGTCTTCAAAAGACCTAATAAAAAAATCCCTGTAATGTACTCTAGTTTCAGGATATTTATAAACCTGAGAGGAAGTGTTGTAAGAAAATAATTGAAAGCATCAGATCTGCTACAAAAAAATCAGAATTAATTTTGCTCCTGCAAACTGCATGTTATCATTCAAAGATTCCTATTTCAATATATCAGAATCAATGCTAAATATATCTGTAAATTTTAAGGTCCACAGTGATTTACACACTAAATCCCATTTCAAAATGAAGTACTAGTTGCACTCCAAAGCCTCATGAAAAGTAAATGAAAGTTTGGTTAATACTGCAGTTTCTATTCAAACATGAGATATTTTTAAGATTTCCAACTGTGAAACATCAGCATTTTAACAACTATGACAAGATGTTTTTTCATTAGTAATTATCAATAACAACATTTAAATGGTCTTTATTTCACGTGTACTTTTTGGTTCATTGAAATCCACTCAGCCTTATCCCTTCCTCTGCTCCAAATCTGTTCCATCTTTCTCAAGATTGTTACACTACGTATTGTATGTATGTAAGCTATTGACCAAAAAGACTATATCAAATAAAGAAGGAAAAAAAGTCATAAAATCAATAGCAAGCAAATAATGAAATAAAGCTAACTGGATTTTAGAAAAGAACAGAATACAGGGTGGCAAACAAGATGAAGGCAGACATGACATTTTTAGAAATACTTCTAAAACCTCAAAGGGCTTCAAGATGAGCACGCATCAAAAAAATAACGTGAGAAGAAAAAGCAGTAAGACACTGATAGAAGAAAAAGCATGAGATAAAAAATACTGTAAGATAACTGATGGAATATGACAAAAGGAACAAATTAAAAAGTAATGATCACTGAAGGATGATGGATAGGAAATACCTTACTGGCAAAAGTTCCAGAAGAAGATAAAGCAGACATGGCTACTAAAACGAGACAGGACTTCATTTAGTGGCCATGGCCTTCTTAAAGAGAAGATATGGAGCTACTGGATAAACAGATTCAGGAGATACCACGTAGAGAAGGCATGATTGTTTACAGATGGGATGAAAGCTCCCAAAACCAAAACTATGCATTCACAGCAATGTGTCCTAGCAAGTTGCTGCTACTTGTATTTCCTAACCTTTCTTCTGAAGCAAGCTGCTAGCCACTTCGTAAATAACTACCGCATAGTCCACTTACGACCTTCAGATACTCCATGACGCCAAGGACAAGGTTATAAGTCACAGTGACAATCCTACGAGAGGAATCTTTGTCTTATGGCACACTTCAATACTCCCCCTGCAATTCACCCCAACTCAGCAAGATCATCAGACAGCACCATCATGCAACACTAGAAATGGACGTTTATTTTGCAGGCGACACACAACACCATTCTAAAACAAACTTAGGAATTTCTACCTCCTCTTTGTTGACAGCGTGTTTTATTACTTTTCTTTAAAAAAAACACACCCAAGACATTTTTCCTTTGCCATGGTAACAAGATGTTTTGTAACTAGGCTAGTGCAGTTGAGAGTGGTGTGACAGAATTAAACATGTCTGATTTTATCCCAATATATAACCACCTTATCTCAAACTTCGCCCGAATTTAAAAATCACAGTTCAGATTAGGTAACAGTATTTCACCCTTCTATCTAAAGTCAACTTCCTTTTCTCCCCTCTTGTTGTAGCAACAGATCACCACTCACCCTGTGCTCTCCCCAAGATCTATTCACACTGAACAGAAACACATCGTATTCATGCATATTTGTAAAGAACAACTCATGAAGGAATCTTTTGCAACAGCTTCTGAATAACTTAAGCCAAGCCATCTGCATAATACTGATGATGTATCATCGCATATTTTGGTTCGCAGAATTTCTCTGTAATGGTGCTACTTCTATAGGAGCTATAGTTTAGGGAACTTCATTCAGATTTCAGTTCTGGTGCCACAGAAGACATAAACTGGGAAGAAAGCATTTGTACAGACAGAGTACTCCAAATCTGTAACCTCAATGCCACCTTACTTACCATTTTCTGTAAATCAACCATACTTATTCTGCCAGCTTCCTTTTTCATCTGATCTACACTTTTCTGTGCTAAATTCAGATAGGCCTGTAAATGATGACGCATCATAGCCAACCGTAAAGCACATAAAAGGACGATAATCCACAGCCTCATGGTGTCAAATGTATCTTCTGACATTCTGTGGATAAAAAAAAAGGGTAATGTTGTTTTCCAAAGGTCACCTACCATTATGGAGCTTTTTGTTTGAGTCATCTGTAAAGAAATCTTGAAGCATATTATCAAAAATACTTAACGCACAATCTACAGTGATCAAGTTCATTGCAAGTAATATTCACTTTTGCCCTCCGCTTCTCTCTCTACCTCTACTTCTTAGTGGCCCTATTACAGCACTAGATCCAAATTAGTATACATTTGTCTGTAAAGAAGCACAGCTCTTAAATGCTTAAATTCTGAGTGTTGAAGACAGGACACTAAAAAACAAGCTCACTCAGATAATTACAGGCTTTGAGGCACACAGTTCTAGACAGCAAATGTGTACATCAGTTGCCTTAGATGCCCTGTTACGGCACAGCCCTCATTTTAAGATCACGTGAGGAACAAAATGGAAACACAAAATCACTGCATTTGCAGTATTTCAGGTCTTAGTTCATTGGTCATACAATCACCTCGGAAGCGTGTCTTAGACCTAGAAAGCAACAGAAGTGTCAGCCAATCATATCTTTTTCAAGTCTATTTGAATACTACTATTTTGAACTAGCTAGACTAATAGTGACAATGACAATCACTTATGCTGCTTATACAATATTGATTTTAGATACCACTCTTCCTGAAAATTCTTTCCCTTTTTACATTTTAAATATTTTAGCTATCAATTCCATATATACTTCATCTACACATAGATTTTAAGACAAATTGCACAGGTCAGTTCTTATGCCAATGTATCTCTAATGTCTTCAGTGAAACCGCTCCTCTCCTACACCCGTGTGTAAGGTACAAGGTTCCTTAAGGCAGCAGCGTGGTGGTACTCCACCCCTAGGAAGAACAACCCATCACTGACAAGGGGATGCCAGAAGATAGCAGCTCTCTGGGAACCACCACCTTACCATCCAGCACTCTGCGACCTTATTCTCATTCTCCTGAAATAGCAGGAGCCCTGTAGAGCTCAGCTGCAACTTCCACAATACCTCTGACAGCAGATGTTATTAAAGTCTTCCACGTTTTTCTGACTTTCACGGGGCACTACTTAAGACTTCTGGTTTTGTTCTCTATACCCCATAAAGAACTTTTAAAGGGAATCTTACAAAGGGATGCTCTCTTTGCCCAAAGGTGGGTTCATAATGTAGTCCTTAGTGATTGGTTTTACCCACAGTAGAACCATAAATAAAGGTGCCAAGAAGTTTATATGTAGCAATGTTCTGAAACAAGAAAAAAAATAGGGGGGGGGGAAGTTATTAAATAGAGTCCAGATTCAAAACGAGAAATCTGAATTTTAAAATAGTTGGGAGAAAGGCAAACAAGAAAATTACTTCCCTATTTTATAGGTATGACTTACATTTCAACAAAACAGTAATATTACATATTGTGAAATCACACTGGTTGTAGTTTAAAAAAAGTGCTCTTAGAACATCTGAAAATTTTATGTATTCCAAACAATCTAACCAAAGCAGCTACGTGTATTATGCCACAATATAGTAAAACACAGTGGTTCAGAATTTCCATATGATGGCATAACACCAAACTGCACTAGCTACTACAGTTTTAATCTAGACAGCCAGCATCTCAGTGGATAATTGTGGGAAATAAGCTGTTATACTACTACCTTTTTTTTTTTTTTTCTTTATTAAAATGTACTCAGATTAATTTCCACTGTCTATGTAGACCAGGGGAAGCAGTTCTCAGAGATTAGATTTTCCAGTTTAATGAAGATTTTTACTTAGGAACCTTGACTAAATGAACCTTGGTACTTATATTCAGTTAAAAATACTCAGACACACACACACAAAAAAAAAAACGCCAGCACAGCTACTCCATTTTAAAAGCATTGTGCAAAACTGCCCAGTCAATGTAAAAGTAGTACTCTCTTGAAATCTGAGTACAAAACAGACAGCAGAATTTAAAAAGAGGAGATAGTTTTCTGGAGTTTTCCTGAAAATAACATCTTTCTCATTTCTGAAGTCTACATCCCAATCATTTTTCATTCTTAAAATGAAATAAAGAATTCTTCTAAAATGAAGACTCCAGTGCTGTAGTGGATACATTTTGCAGGTGGTTTTGCTAGTGCAGTGCTTCCTCACTAACAGAATCAGCTTGTCTGTATTTCCATCATCAACCAGAGTGCTTCTACACTATAGAAGAAGTGAGGTACTCAAAACTTATTCTAAAGAACACAAGATCTTACTGATTTCTTAGCTTCCTAAAACCATTAAAATGTTTGCATGTTTTGGAAGATGTCATCACGCACATATTTAAATCACTGGCTTCAGATGAAGAAAAAAGCACTGCTAGTTATTCAGTGTTGCTAGGGAACACAACAGCATCAAAGAACAGTCCAAAGCACTTCATTAACTTGTGAAAGCATTTTACCTGAGCTTCTACTTATTTAAGACATCCTACCGGGTTAATGGACTGGAATGTACCAAGGGTGGCAAGAATCCCTTTCTGTTTATTCAAGTACAGGGAGCAAGGCTGAAAGACTCTTGAAGCAAGTTCTGGAAAACGAGGGAATGTGCACGAAAATGGTACAAATTGAATAAGAAGACCTCAAAATATATGCAGGGAATGATATTGTTGCTAAAGAAAAAAATCAAACCAGCTATCAAAACCAAAAGGGACACCAGACTACTTTTATTCTGTTTACCCAAAAAGACACTGCTCCCTATACACATAAAAGAACCACGTTAATAATTTTGAACATATTAGTGAAGTGGTAGTTAATCATTAACCTCTACTTTTTTGTCTTTTTTTTTTTTCTTTTTGGTCCATGTTACCTGTAAGTTTAGTCTCCCATTCTGTAATGGAATGGGAAAAGGGAGCTTGTCTCCTCTGTTTTTTTTCCTTCTGCTGGGGTTTGAGGTTTTTGTTTTCAGTTGTTCTTTGGGGGAGCTTGGGGGCTAGCGTATTTTTGGGCAGCTTTGCGGATTTGAGGGGTTTTGCTTTGGTTTTAGTTTGTTGGGGTTTTTTTTTTTTTCCAAAAGTAGACCATATATTTGACTGCCAAGAAAGGCATTGTCATCCTGCACACAAATTACAGAGCTTTGTATCACTGACATGTCATCCTCATTTACCACTCCCCTTCAGCCACTGTCAAATAACTGCAAACAGTCAATAATGATCTCCTCATTGATAAAAACACATCACTAATGGCAAATACCCATCTCTTCAGGCCAGTTAGAACCTATCAATTCACAATGACTCTGTTTACAATTGCATTACGTAATTACATTGACAGCTGACTAAGTTTTAATCCATTCAACGTAATTATTATATTGTCCCAGTTGAATAGTCAAGGTATTGGTAGACTTTTGAAAATAATTTGCATGGTGTTGCACAAAATGATCTGTAACAACCAGCTCCAATATCCTTTAAACATTAACTTAGATTTATTTTTCATAAGCTTATTCTAGTCGATATTAATTACCCTTTTTGCTCTTGATTAATGAAGTTCTGTTTCAGAGATGTTGTATGCCTGACTAGGATCTCATGTCCACAGATCAAGGAAGATGTTGGAAAACTGGAGGACATTTACAGAAGAGGCACAAGAAATTTTAAAATACTGAGAACCATAAAAATTAAAAACTAAGCAGTTTGTGTGGCTGGTAAGAACAGATTAGTAAGTGACTCATCCACAGTCTACACAGATAGAGCAAACCAATAACTTGCAGCTGCACCTAGACGTATTCAAGTACAATGACTGCAAATATAACACAGAGTACTTGGTGACACAGACTAATTTTTAATCTGGGCGGTTTTGGGGCAAAAGAAAAAAAATGCAGTTTGAACATCAATAGTTTTTGTATCAGAAAGTATAACGTCTCTCTTAGGAAAGTGACCAGACTAAACAATCACAATTTCCTACGCTGCAGAATCTATCATTAACATGTATTAAATATCAAAGGTCAAGATCTATGAAAGACATTTGGAGCCTCTCTCAACTAGAGAACACTGAAGACAAATAGTTAAAGGGGAGAAAACATTTTACCACCAACCTCAAGGACAGCTGAAAATAAAAATATTCTTTTAAACTGGTACTAACATCTGACCCCTATTAAATATCCTGGGTCATCTTATCTTCGTCTCTTACCCTAAATTTCTTAAAGGCATGATGCCCACCTGGAGGTGAGGGTGGAATAAAAAAGTCTGTGGTTGCACCTCTACTTCCTGAAAGTAATCTTAACTCCCCTAAAGATACAATGGGGGAAAGGAAGCAGTAAGCAGAAACATTCATGGTGGAGCTCTTGCGGGAGAAAAGGAAAACTCCTTGAACTGGGACTCTAATTACAAGGCAAAGAATGTAACAGACTGGCAGAGCACAGGTTGAGCAGAAAGAGGCAGGTGGCAAGTCTGCTCAAGATGAGAAAAGCAGCCAGCAACAGAAGTCTTAGTCACTACCTTTTTGTCGGAATAGTTTGCTTTCTTTGTTTTTCAGACATTAAAGATTTAAGATTGAGTAGCATATACCTATGTGCACATATTTTCTCTTACTGTGTTATTTTTTCTGTTGCTAAATTCAGAGCATCCAGATGCATTTGAGCCAGTCGCAAGCCAGGGAATGTCAAAAAAGCACCGATAAGTGAACACAGAACAGCCAGGAACAATTTGAAGGTTAGTTTAGACACAGGACCCCTAAAAGAAAAGAAAGGAAATAAGCATTTTCCTGGGGAGGAAGTTTGGGGGTGGGGTATCAGAGACTACTTTCAACTCAACAGTATCTAACACTTAACCAAAAAAGCAAACAGTACTCAATAGTTCTACTCTGGAATACCAGCATTATTACAAACAAATCGGGAGTTAAAACAAAAAAACCCAAGTTATTTATTTCCCAGAAAGAACGGAAAACCTAAGCTACTGCCTGTAAGATGTTAAGTCTGTTAGTAGAGAAGAATAAAAAAAGAATAATTTTATATTGTAATTAACAACAAATTATATAAGAGAAATGGCTAATAGAATGAATTTAATGATTATGTTTTTAAAAGAGGAACAGATGCATCATAAGTTTAACTAGCCAAAGACAAAAATCAATATTTAAGTTATACTACTTACATTCTACACTTATCCATTAAAAAGCTCTAACAGACTGCTATTACTGCAGTTTTTCATAGATTTATCTAAAACATACATGTGGCCAATTAATATGTCTCTTCCAAGTGATTAATATAGTCTGTTTTAATGAGTCATGGAGTATTAAAAAAAAAAAAATACAGAAAAGTATCCAGGATCAAACACTGGATTACAGAAAAAAAAAGAAAAAAAAAGTGACATAACTAACATAGATTAAAGAAGAACAAAAACAAATCTAGTTATCCACATGAGTTTCAAATTCTTTCTAAGAGACACCATCATCAACTCAATTGCTGCTGTAAACAACCAAAGCACTGTAAAAGTTTAAAAATAAATACAGACCTAACAGGAAAAAAGAAAAAAAAAAACCCAGTAGTTAGTAAATTTGCAATAGCTTAGTAAAAGCAGAGTGAAAAAAGGCTAAGCAACACATGGGATTCAGTTAAGTGCTTCCCATGAGTTTATTAATAAATACACTAATCTCACTTGAGGAAACTTCTGTTCCTCAAAATAAAGGTTCCATAGCTTTTACATGACACTTGAGAACTTCCAAGCAAGAAATTCAAAGTTTTACTCCACAGTGATGACATACCCCAGAAGTGCCTTTTAGAGCACGTGTATAAGAAGAATTGTAACAGAAATTCATTTTACAATATACACAGGCGGTCTATGACAGCGGTCGTGTATTTCTGTAACGTCACAAACTATGGCAGGTTCCTTTGACAGTCTACACAAAACTTGGATGTCCTGTAGCAAGCAGATGTTTTTGCATAATAGGAAAACACTACTAAAACCTGAGAACAGGACTGAAAGCCAAAATTCACTCCTAATGCCAGCTTTATCACAAGCTCCATCTGTAGCTTTTGCATGCTCATCCTCTTGCATACCACAGGAACGGCAAAAAATACCTTCACCTGTTTGAAGCAACCCTTGCAAAGCTGAAGGGAATTACCATGAAAAAAATGTTTATAGTTTTGAACCATATTTTATGAACTACAGCCAAAATGTCACGGTAGAAATTATGTTCAAGACAAAAACAGAAAACACAAATGCAACTTCAGTTACTTGTGAGTACTGATGAATTATTTTCATTAACCCACTTTTTCACATTATTAGAGACATTATAAGCACGTACAAGACCAAAACATGCAAGACAAATGCTTGCTAAGAAAATCCAAGTGGTTCAGTTATCAATGTACACATAAAGCAGACAAATGTATTTTCAGAAACTTACTGGGATTCCAAACCCTGCTTTTCAAGAAACTGCATAGCACTGTCTGAGAAATTCGAGAATCCTGTAAAGAGACATATATTATATGTATTTTATTACAGTGCAAACACAGAATCCCGTTTCTGAAATAAAGTGCTAAGTAACAGGCCATCCTTTAAACAACTTTTTTCATGTCTAGCATATCTCTTTCATTAATTAGTATGCCATAATGCAATAAAACTTAATTACTAACAACTCTGGTATTTGTACACTTCGTGAACATGAATAAAACTTTTTTTTTTTTTTTTTTTACAAACATAAATACCTTTTTTTTTTTTTAATTCCAGTAAAGGAGTTTTGCTTTACTATGAAGGGCAAAATGGGTTACATGTAAAACTGGAAGGCAAATACAATTAACAAAACAAACAGCCTAGGTAAAGATTACACTACTTCAAAGAAAGCAGGGAAAATACACAGGATATCCTTCAGAATCTGCATTCCAAAGCAAAATTTCTTAGAAGTGTATGACATACAGAGTTCATTTTAACACAGATATTCTCAAAAACACCTGAAACACTGGAATTAAATTTTTCAGGTCATGCAATCACTAGAGCTGCTGCAAACACAACAGAAATGAGTTACCTGATTCCAGTCCGAATTCTAGATAGTTTTCTGTCACAATGAGAATTGCCATTGCTTTCACAAAGAAGAAAAAGCCAAAGGTGACACAGACTGATCTTTCACCTCCATCCTCTACTTTGAAATAATGGGTAGTCAACGAAAACAGTACCTTACTACACAGGAAAAAGGTCAAGGAAAATTAAGTTTGTAAAATATCTATATTTAATAATTATAAAGCTGTATTTTGGTCATCTACACTAGGGCTGTTCTACGATGTACAATTTTTTAAAAAAAACTAGTAAGTGTTCATCCAATTTCAGGTTAAAATTACAGAACGCTGTAAAGCATAATAATTACATAATGGGTAGCTAGGAATACACCACTCTGGACTACAGTTTTTATTTAGGCTTACTTATAGTCACTTGCAGCAACACTCACAATCAATCTAGGAGAACTAAACCAATGTTTGAAAGTCAATGATTACATAATCATAAGTTTTCTCACACAAAAAATAAGACAGTTGTACCTTCAATGCAAAATATCAAGCTAAATGAAAAATATTCCATCAAACTACAAAACTCAAGATTTAATATATCTTAATTTCAAAATCCAAAATGTTACTTTTGAATACAACAGCTGTGATGGCAGGGAAGTAACAACCACATTTTTAACCACATCGGAGCTGTATGTGTTCTTTCTGGACGCACAGTCCCGAGGTACACATAGAAAGAACAAGAACAGGATGCTCCAACAAGCACTTCTACCAACAATGGGACAAAATTTCCCAACTAAGAGAATTTCTGCTCACAGGAAGTGTACACCTGCCTTACAAGACACTTTGGCAAACGGCACGGGATTGTTGCTGAGCTTATTACATGACTGTTTACTAAACAGAAAACATATGAGAAGATGAAACTTGTATTTCTCTACTTTTCACATGTACATGTTTTGAGATTTCTCAGCTATCAAGGACAGTAAAACAAGAACACGTTCAGTACCATCTAGGAAAGAAAAATCTACCCTATGCTCATCTTGGGGAAAAAAAAAACCAAACCCAACCTTAAAAAACCCTATATAGTAAGGTATGATATATTAAGTCCTTTCATGTAACCCCAGTGCCACAAATGCAAACTTCTAAGACATCACCCGCTCTGTTATCAAGCCATTTTTAAAATGTTTATTGATTATTCTCCTGTTAAAGACATTTCTAAACACAATTAGCTCCAAAGTTAAACAGCAGATTAGGATAAACTTTTCATGATATATTGTCAACTCTTATTACTATGAACTGCAGCCCATTATAACTGATTTTTTTTTCTTTCAAATGGCAGGCAATATCCAGTCCATATCTAAACAAGGTACTTGGAGATCATTCCAGACATTACCTGCTTTGAAAAACCAAAGAGAAATAGGAAAAAGAAGATTTTTAAGTGTAAATTGTACCCTTTTTTTCCACTATGCAATGACATACTCATATTTGTACTTCTTTTAATACTGGAAGTATTTTTAGATGCAGATTACATGAAAACATGTTTTGGAGTATCTATTCAGTAAACCATTTGAACAGTCATCAGTTTATCTCTCAAGAGACTATATGATCATGCAATATCTCACTTCATTAAGCAGCATACACTTAACACCCACATTGCTGTATTTCATGTATATGCAGAGGTACTCATACACACATAATGTGGCCTAAGCACAGCAATCAACTTAAGCTCCCTTCATACTTCACAGAAAGAAATTCTTTCTCTAAAGTAAGACCTAAATTATCCTAAAAAGAGGTACATAAGGGTAATACAGACTGTCTTCTGGAAAGCTCCATTTCTCTTAATTCTCTTACATTCTTAAACCAAGTGTCTTCTTACAGCTAGGGACATTAATTACAAATTAAAAACATATTAATTTCAAATCCTGAAGTTACACAAAGGAATTCATAACAGTTTGTGATCAATAGCCCTAACCTATAAACAGATTTATAACCCCCTAGATACTTCATATTTCCAACTATGGATTGTGCCTAAAGGATGCAGAAAATGCAACCAGGAAAGAGAAAGCATAAATTCCAATTACAGTGCAGATTCAGAACCCAATACATTAATGATTATGCAAAGTATATTCAACTAACAGAGGGTTTCAGTCACATAATCACCACTGCTACCTATTTTAGGGATGAAAAAATGAAAGCATTATGGCTTGCTTCATCACTTGATTTCGCTGCTCGACCTACGTTTTGGGACCTACTGAAGAAATAATTCCAGGATATACAGTGCTGTTAATAGACTCCCCATCCCACCTTTTATTACTTTTTTTTGGTCAAAAAAGCTGATACGCCTGTAGAATTTATGGTATATACTTTTACAAAAATGATTTTATCTTTTACTTTGTTATGATTACAGAATCTTTCAACGACACAGTCCACTGGTATTTATGCACACAGTTGAAGAGAAAAAGATCTACCTTCCTTCCCTGTTAAAATACATTAAACTTTTGGGCTCATAAGTGAAAACCAAATAAACTCCTCTACATTCTTTCTAATTGCATGTATGTAGAAAAACTATTGCTTAAGGCTTAAAGGTTATTTTACGGTACTTGATGACTGACCTAGATCAGCCTTCAGTCAAGAAAAAACTGTCACTTTCCTTTGCCATGCCATTGATACCTTTTCCAAACGTAGACAGTGAAATTTACTAATCTACCAATGAAATCAAGTTATTTAAACCTTTTCAGCTGACAGCTTCCAGTTGAGAAATACCTTACTTCTGCTATACCACAATTTTTTTCATAAATACTTCGCCTTTGCAACAGAAATGGTCGTGTACAACACTGTTTAAAGGTTTATAAACAAAAATTTAAGTAAGATGACTTAATCTGCTGTCCTTCATGATGAATTTTAAATAGCTGATTAAGAACAGTCATTTAAATGAGGCATATGCTACTATCAAGATGGATCATCTCTCAGTGTTGCCCATCCAACTCTATCCTCACGCACATTCTTCCTTCTGCCAGTGAAGAATTTTGTTATTTCACAAACACAGTCTTTTGCAAGGAAGGCTGCAACTGCTATATTTAAAATTGTTATCCATAATTCTATCTGCTAATTTTGAGTGCTGGTTCTGACAGGAGCCACCTTTCCAAATTTCAAAATAATAGAAATCATGAATCTGTGAATAGTTGCCATCCGCAAAAAACTGTAAATAAAGAATAATAAAACCCCAGTAGTTCAAACATTGTGGCCTACACCACAATGAGTTTTCACAAACATTAACATTACTTTTGCAAGGAATACTGCAAAACTATTTTTAAGCTAAAATTCACAATCAGTAGGTCATGATCAATAATCTGTATCAAAAAAACTTCAGCATCTTTGTTTTGCAAGATCTTTTGTTACTCCTCCTCAGGTACTGGAAACTACTCCGTGAATGCAAGCTATCACCATGAAAATAATTCCAATCATCACTTCCAACTTCTTTAAGCTTTTTCGGCCATTCTGTCAGCCAAATCCTTAGTCGAACGTATCACCTCTTAACACACAGCCATGAAACACCTGCCATCAAAACAAAAAAATGTTCTAGAATTGATTCTTGACATATCACGTTGACTGCTTTCAACTGAAAATATGGACGCAACCAAGTTTCTTAACACTTAAATTATGAAGAATATTTTCTGGTCTTGGCATACTGAATTAGTAAATACTTGTGTAAGTTTGGAAGTATTCTTAGCATCCCAGAGGCCTGATGTCACAACATATGAACAAACCCGTTTTCTTCTGAAATCTCTTTTCACCTGCCTAGGTTCCGGTGGTCACCAGGATTGTTATCAATATCCCTGTACATCACTCTTTTTACACCATCCTCTTTCACCCAAAAAGCTGTAATGCTTGGAATAAGTTATATTAACATATTTATGGAGATGTTAACTCTTAACACAAAACTCAGACTGTGCTTCCTGGTACTGCAGTCTTCTGCACTGCCACTAACCCTTCAGACTGCACAGGATCACACCACTTCATCTCACCAGTCCAGAAACCATACAGCTAATTAAGCAAAGCCCTATTCAATATTAGGAAGCAGTGACTTCACTACGATTTCTACAAAATCACCTACTTTGTGCAGAGGTCTCCCATTAAAAAAAGTCTATTTGAGGCCACAGAAAAAAAGAAGTAAATCAACGTTACACAAAGTGGCAGAAAACCAGTTCTGACCATTTGCTTCCTTTGTATAATCAACAAACGACCGTTCAACTATCTAGTACTGGTTAAGTAATTATACTTACACGAGGTTGCACTCGCATACAGATTTCTTATTTCCCAGAACTTACTTAAGTATTTCTGAAGGCTGGTCCTACGTATCAGGTTATTCTTCTCAAGGCTTTCCCAAATTCGCATATGTTTGTAGAAGCACCACGTTACCTTCTCTAACCCTTCTCTCACCAACAAATTGCCAGGAGTCTTCAAGAATTCTCTCTCTAAAGTATACCGCCTATTACCAAAAACTCAAAACAATGTTGGTCCCTTAGACAACACATCCCTAGATACAGAAATGCAAAAGCATGCAATTAACTGGTCACAGCTTGTTAAATAAAACTCAGCTTCTAGCACAATATTCTGCTTTTAATACTACTCTTCTTTCTTCCCTTTCAGTCACGTAGGAAGGCTAGTTAGTGAGAAAACACACTTAACGTGCTTCTAATATGCAGGGTATACTAGATCTGTTTCAATCTCCTCCAGGACCAATGTGCAATGAGATCTCAAGTGCTTCAACCAGATTAGGATAAAACTGGAAATGTTGGTTTAGGCTCAATTCATATAAAAATTGCAGGTGAGAAAGTAACAACCCAAAAAAGACCCAAATAGCTACTTGCATGTTCACGCTACTGAGACAGAAAGCTTGCACTGCCAGGCAACTTTATCTTTTTTAATTTCAGCATTTGGTTTTGGACTGAATGATGACCAAATCAAAGCGGTGAGTACGACTGTATTCAAATACCACTGTAAAAAAGAATTACTGCAGTGGATTTTCCTACAACACATAATTCACAACTCTGTTCCACCCAGAGCTGCAGTCACTGTCGTATTATTTAAGTTGGATACGCCCAAGACTTGAAAGATGAAGCAAACAGGCCTTGGACACCAATAAATTTAAGAGTGCATTGTGGTTTTAGTGTTTGAAGCTTGTTTTTCTACTAGCTCTATTAACCTCCCCCCTCATCCTCAAAATGGGAGTCAAAGGTGTTGGCTTTCACTGCTGATTTCTTAAGCAGTAACCGCCTCTCCCTCCTTCCCTCTGCCAACATTAAACTAGAATTCCTGACTTCACCCAAACAAATATAACAAAGGCTGTGCAATAACAGCTATATATCAGCTATAATACAGCCACAATATCATCATAAGGTGCACAAGAGCCAGACGTCAACCTTCCTGTCACTACCTAGTAGACTAAAAAACCACACACTTTGGACTGTGGATCTATCCACTGACCAGTCAAAGGAGAAATACCTGGTCTGGAATCAAGCTACCAACAGTCTTTTTTTTTCTTCCATAATGTGAGTCGACTCCCTCTTCTAGCAAGTTCTTACTCATGAGGAAAAATCTGGATATCATTTATACTTCAGGTTATTTAGAAAAAATAGTTCCTGTCCTTATCGTAAAGGCAGCACACTTTTTAATAATTACCAAGTACAGACAAGCATGAAGCATATCCAGAACTGCTAGCCAAATATAACCAAACATTTGAGTTCAAAAGTTTTACAAAACACCACCAGTTATCGCTAAGACTGAAAAAAAACCCAAACCCCAAAAAACCCACAACACAGTAAGAATCTCTACTGAAGAACACACTTTAATAAAGAGGAATCGATTTCGAATATTCGTAAGAATCTCTACTGAAGAACACACTTTAATAAAGAGGAATCGATTTCGAATATTCAAGTGCTATACCACAGAATCATAGGTTGGAAAAGACCTCTAAGATCATCAAGTCCAACCATCTGCCCAACACCACCATGCCTACTAAACCATGTCCCAAAGAGGCTCATCTACACGTTTTTTCAACCCCTCCAGGGATGGGGACTCAACCACCTCCCTGGGCAGCCTGGTCCAATGCCCGACCACTCCTTCAGTAAATAAATTTTTCCTAATATCTAATCTAAACCTCCCCTGATGCAACCTGAAAGCATTGCTTGTCGTCCTATCACTAGTTACTTGGGAGAAGAGACAAACACCTGCCTCACTACACCGTCCTTTCAGGTAGTTGTAAAGAGCAGTAAGGTCCCCCCTGAGCCTCCTCTGCTCCAGACTAAACAGCCCCTGTCTTCTCAGTCGCTCCCCATCAGACTTGTTCTCCAGACCCCTCCCCAGCCTCGCTGCCCTTCTCTGGACACGCTCCAGCCCCTCCATGTCCTTCTTGTAGTGGCCCCCGGGGCACCCTGGTGGCTCATGTTCAGCTGGCTGTCAACCAGCACCCCCGGTCCTTTTCCACTGGGCAGCTCTCCAGGCACTCCTCCCCAAGCCTGTAGCGTTGCATGGGGTTGTTGTGACACAAGTGCAGGACCTGGCACTTGGCCTTGTTGAACCTCATATGACTGACCTCGGCCCATCGATCCATCCTGTCCAGATCCCTCTGCAGAGCCTTCCTACTCTCGAGCAGATCAACACTCCAGGCCAACTTGGTGTCATCTGCAAACTTACTGAGGGAGCACTCAATCCCCTCATCCAGATCATTGATAAAGATGTTAAACAAGACCGGTCCCAAAACTGAGCCCTGGGGAACACCACTCATGACCGACCGCCAGGTGGATTTAACTCCATTCACCACCACTCTCTGGGCTCAGCCATTCAGCCAGTTCTTTATACAGCAAAGAGTACACCCATCCAAACCATGGGCAGCTATTTTCTCCAGGAGGAACTGTGGGGAACAGTGTCAAAGGCCTTACTAAAGTCCAGGTAGATGACATCCACAGCCTTTCCCTCATCTACTAGGCAGGTCACCTGGTCACGGAAGGAGATCAGGTTGGTCACGCAGCACCTGCCTTTCATGAAGCCATGCTGGCTGGGCCTGATCCCCTGGTTGTCCTTCACATGCCCAGTGAGTAACTCAGGATGAATTGCTCCATAATCTTCCCCGGCACTGAGGTCAGGCTGACAGGCCTGTAGTTCCCAGCATCCTCCTTCCGGCCCTTCTTGTAGATGGGTGTTACACTGGCGATCCTAACTTGGCACTTCATCTGGTTGTCAGCTGTTGAGGGAGTAGAGGAGTTGCAGAAATTCATTTTCAAACTCACCTTTCCATACCCTGCACTCTTGCAGGCCCTTATTCAATTCCACTGCTTTATCACCTATCACATCTTTAAATGGCAACTTTCCTCCCTAAAGTGCACATCTGGATTGGTATGTGGAAAGCAGTTAATTACCACACAAGCATCCATGTCTGATATTGCCTTCTACCATAAAAACAAGCATAATAGCTGCTTCTTTTTATGGTTTGATATTACCTGTTTCTTTAACACCCTCAGTTTCAGAGGGGAGTTCAGCTTTTCACAGAGCTTTGAAAACACGCCACCTCGGCTCCTACAACTGTCTACACATTTTATTTTCTGTAAACTTCATAAAAGTGTCTTGAATGCATCTTAAAATTATGAATTCATGCATGTATCTTTGCAATAAGTTAGTATACACATTACTGTACTATTTTGTTCAAGAAGCATCACATTAAACATATTGAAAACAAAAAGTGTGCGGTAAATTGCACACTTGTCCAAAAGCTGTACATGCTTTCTGCACAGAAGTCTATTTCTGATTGTCAAACTGGGCAAAACCAGGTTAGTTTAGAAGCACTACATACTACAGATAAGCACTAACTGTATGTATTTTTTCCATATGTGGTTTAGCATTAACGTTAACAAGCTATTGATACCAGCAAGTATAAACAGTATGTACAGAATATACATTACTCAACAACAGCACTACTTCACACAATCATTTTTCCACATGTTAAATATTCATGTATCCTACCAATCAACAATGCAGAGCTTTACACGGGTTGCAAAATGATGTAAACTATTTGGAACAGACAGAATCATTTAAGAAAACAGAGAAGGATACACTGCAAAAGCCAAGACAAGCAGACACCACACTACGCTGATATTCATTTCTTGTGTGGGCTTCACAATACTGTAATAGGCTTCCGTCACCACATACACAACTGTGGCCGCAACCGTGAAATCCACCAGCCACTGATATTCCGGAAAATAATGCAGTGCTGAAAAACACAAGGTCACAAATTTACAGGTGTGATATTTTAAGGCAGTTACTGACGTATACGGAACGGAGTGACAATTAAAAAGTTTCAGTCAATGGAGGTCTAGGCAGACCCAGACCATCCAAGTAAAGGGCAACAACAGCAAAAAGAGGCACATTTTTTTTCCACTCCACAACCTGAACTTCACTCTTCACTTCTGTTCTTCGATACATTACTACTCAGATTTATAAGGCTGCAAGATTTTGCTATTTTATCATCTCACCTGTTATACATTAACATCCCAAATTCAAAAAACATACTTAATTTAGATCTCAACACCACAACAGAAAATTGTTGTCCAGTTCAATCTAGCTAAAATTCCAGGTAAGAGTTTTGCCTCTCTGTTAAAGATTAAAAGCTCACTGACAATCATTTAAAATACTACATACAATTGCTTCCCTTTTTTCTTTAAAAAACCCAACAGCTAGGATACTGATGGTTTGTTCTTCAAGGTTTTGTTAATATCTCCTGTACAGCCATAAATCATTGTGTAAATTCCACCACAAAAAATCTGGGGATCACAGCATGCAGGCTGGGTGATTTGCACAGAGAGTTCCCACAGGTGCTGGGAACTGTAAAGAACAATTTGTAACAACGAAGCGCAGCCTGTCTGTCCCAGACACATTCCCTACATCTACAGGGTTAAAAAGTCACAAAGCATTACTGAGCATCTGTCTGTTGACTACAAGGTACATGACGTCAAACACATGAAATTGGCCAAACTCAGGTACTTGCAAGTCGTATACTTACTTTAAAATAACTGTCCGGTTAGATTCAGCAAAAGTTTGCATACATAACTTTTTAAAGACAGTTAAACCCTACACCGTACCAGTACCTATACGCACTCAGGGAGACAGTTAAATCCTAGAATTTCAAGCAAACAACACTAGCTGAAACTTGCGAATGGTTTATTTATGCGCCAGATTCAAAAAACTGCATTTCCGTTAAAGGTATTCTCTACACTATCTCTGATAATTTAAGCTGAGAAATCTCCTGCATAGGACTATGCTTCCTTTCCATTTTTATGCATAGAACACATGCATATAAAATTGTAGATAGGAAGAAAATACGTATCACAGATACATACAAACCCATTCACGAGTTTTCTGTAACAGACTGACTGGTTTTGATTAAAGAATTAAAAATTACCATTTAAAATAACAGCAACTTCCAAAACACTTAATGCTGCTTGCTTCTGTACTGCCACATTCTGTTTCTAAGCATTCTACCTTAATGTTTCAGATGCGTGGTTGAAAGATTTAGGTTTCAGTGCTACAGCACATTTCCTGGTTTAGATGAGCAGAAAGTATATGTTTCGACGTGTGCCAATTGTCATTTTCTTGTACAAAGCTATGATCCCTATTTCAAATAGACTACGATGTGATCTTTTTGGCATTGCCTCACATTGCTATGGATGCCTGATACAACAATAGATGTGCTTTATGCTGGATTTCACCTGCTCATCCTTTTCCACAACGCTGTTATTACGATGTCATCTATGGAACAACAAAGGAGAATTAGCCCGCATTTTTGCCGTCTCATTTACCTTTATTATCAGTTGTACTTCTGTTCATTCATTGTCTATAAAAAAGACATTCCAGCGTTCATCGCAAATAAACACTTCATAGTAAGAATAAGGATATATTTGAGATAATGTATTATCATCTGTGTCCACTTGTTCTTACCAATAGTGTCCCTTTCAGTCACAGATTTTGTTTCCAGATGAAGATCAATGTCTTTTGGAATGGTTAGGGGTTTGTTTTCAATATGACCATTGTATTTTCTGCAAAAATAAATAAATAGATAATACACACATGGATATGACAAAATAAACCTTTTCAATATATAATGGCATTTCAAATTTAAGAGAAGTGCAGACTCCTTTTTTACAAAATGCAAACATTTTTATCTATCTAGCTAAATGCGTTATTTGGAGTTCAAATCTTGAGAACCAACCAGGTATGCCAATGGTTCCTAGCTTTATCTTGCAAGGCTCTGACATACTGCTGTGGTATGGGTTTAAATGGCTCCTACATGCTGCATCCTGAGCATGTGTTAGAGCAAGACTGGGTGGCCTGTATTCACCTCAGACCACGGATTTTCTCTGTTCAGGGAGCCACAGGGTGTTCTAGTAAGTGCCCATAGTCTCAAAAGGTTAGTGATACGAGTACAGCTACAGAGCACGATATATCCACCCTAACATACACATACCGTGAATAAAATCAAAGTTAAACGGAGACTTTTTAATTGAGGTCTAGACCAGGATGCTGAAAGACGACAGGGCTAAGGTCTCTGTATTGAAAGTAAGTAAAAAAGACCCACTTGGCAGTGCTAGTTTATTGAACATTCACTGGAAACAACAAGCAGTAATCTACTTCAGAAGATAGTTGATAAGGCAAAAAATAAGAAACAAATTTACCAAAAAAAGTATTAGGCCTTTTTGTCACAACAGGATGTTCAGCAAGTACATCATGTGAGCTGGACTAATCCAGATCCTTGAAAGATCCATCCTACTAGCCATCAAGCAAAGATAATTTTAAGACAGTTTTCTATCTAAAAAGGTATGCATAGACATACTATAGACTTGTTTCAATTCATACCCTGCTTATGAAAATAAACAAAAAAAAAAAATTATTTATCTCAGTATTACTAGCAATCCCAGAGCTCCAGTACAACTTCACAGCATCCCAGCATGGCAGGGGTTGGCAGGGCCCTCTGTGGGTCACCCAGCCCAACCCCCTGCCCAAGCAGGGTCACCCAGAGCAGGGGGCACAGCACCGCGTCCAGGCGGGTCTGGAATATCTCCAGAGAAGGAGACTCCACAGCCTCCCTGGGCAGCCTGGGCCAGGGCTCCGTCACCCTCAGAGGGAAGAAGTTCTTCCTCGGGTTCAGCTGGAGCTTCCTCTGCTTCAGTTTGTGCCCGTTGCCCCTTGTCCTGTCGCTGGGGACCACTGAACAGAGTCTGGCCCCGTCCTCCTGACCCCCACCCTGCAGATATTTATAAGCATTTATGAGGTCCCCTTGAAAAGAAATAATCCATCGCGCTCTCCTGGGCTGACACAGCAGGCTAAGCACACTGCAATACAGCCCAGGGTCCGAAGCGGTGCTGCAGGTTTCAGCCTCTGTTGCAGAGCATGGCAGCGACACACAGGGGCTTCACAAAGTAACACAGATTCGTTTACTCCCATCCTGCAGGCAGACACTCACTTACACAAACGGAAGGAACAAGGCAACCAAAGGCTGCTAAACCCTTCCCGGCTTCCACCATTAAGCAACCTGGGGATGATCTGAGGCAGAGACTGCATTTTATGAAACCACTATTTTTCAAAATTTACACGAATTTGCCTCATCCCTTTCTGAACCTGTCTGATATTTTTAAAGCTGACACAGGACAAGGCACCAAGTTCCACAATGTGCGCTCCGAACTGAGAAGTCCTTACATCTACTCTGCTAACATCGTTCAGTGCCTCTTCGTGTAATATGGTAGTAAGTTTGTCATTCATTGTAAGGGTTGTTCAGCCTGGAGAAGCAAAGGCTGTGGGGAGACCTTAGAGCCCCTGCCAGTGTCTGAAGGGGCCTGCGAGAGAGCTGGAGAGGGACTTTTCAGAAGGGCATGGAGCGACAGGACAAGGGGTGATGGCTTCAAGCTAAAGAGGGGAGGTTTAGGTTAGACCTAAGTAAGAAATCTTCCCTGTGAGGGTGGTGAGGCCCTGGCCCAGGCTGCCCAGAGAAGCTGTGGCTGTCCCCTCCCTGGCAGCGCTCAAGCCCAGGCTGGACGGGGCTCTGAACAACCTGGGCTGGTGGAAGGTGTCCCTGCCCATGGCAAGGGGCTTGGAACTGGATGATCTAGAAGGTGCTTCCAACCCAAACCGTTCTACAATTCTGTGAAGTTTACTAATCCCTGTTCGCCCTGAGTGCACACTGGATACGTTCCTGTTGCTAAACCCTCCCTCGGCCAGTTCCCAGACTAGTAAGCCTTACGCTTTTCCTCCTCATGTGGAAGGCTTTCTTCTAGCCACCACCGCTCCCCTTTTCCAGTTCTACTGAATCATCACTGAAATACAACATAAACAAAAGTACGTCTTCTATGTGTAACATGAAGTTAGACTATGTTTCCAAATTGTTGGCTAGAACTAACACATCCTCAGGGAATCATTTTTCACAGCAGAGGTACAGGTACAGACCGTAATAGATGACACATTTAGAGTAAAAGGTACCTTTTCATCTGGAGCTCCATAACTACACCAACATCACGATCTTCACTTTCCTGAATATAAGCCACACCACTACACTTTAAACTGAAGAAAACAGCATGCTTATAAAAGAACCTGAACAATGTCAAGTTACATGAAATTAGGGTGACATATTACCAACTAGGGTAAAAATTACCTCATCAGTATTAAAAAAAAAAAATATTAAAGCAGATTAGGAAATGTTTTGTTATGTAAAAAAAAAAAATAAAAAAAAGTCAAACCCAAAACTTAAAAATCCTAAATGGCTAGGAGGAAACAGTAAACTCTGCCAGAATTTAGAACAGCACCTCTGAAATCAGAAAATGAGAGGTGGATTTTCCACTGAAAGACAAGCTATTGGGACATCAGCATTAAAAAGCAATTCAATCAATTATGAACTTCTTTTTAAGGAATGATGTCCTTTCAGCCAATGTGTGAGATGAGAATACCAGCAGAAAACATTAATAAATTTTTTTTTCCCCCAGGTGATACTAATTCCTAGTATCCTCCAAAGCACATGAATCTTAATGGACAAACTGAAAACTGAGGATAGGAATCTCAAGCAACATTCCAAAAATTCAGGTGCCCAAGTCTAAACAAGAAGTCCCAAACACTGTCCAGCCACTTAAGTATCTGCAAGCTTCTGTGTGCTTCCCTGCCCACAGCTGTACTCTGATGTTTTCCTACTGCACGCACCCAGGAGTATCATCATCTTGAGCAAGATGAGCATTTTGATAACTGAAGCCATTTCAGCTCAACAAAATTTGGTGTTTCTACACTTTAATTATCCCAGGAGACCCATAATCCAAGAGGCACAGTCAGAACATACCCAGGATTATTGACAGATTTAATTCAAAATAATTCATAGTAGCGATGGTCCTTTTCATTAGTCTAACAATTTAATATCATACAAATTATTCTGAAACAGAAAATCTGCCCAATATTCATGTGCTATTGTAACCTATAGCATAATATACTGAAGTGTAATATGCATCAAATAAAATGGACTACAAGTTCACGCTACAGCTGTTTCTAAGGCTAATTTTCCAGCAGGTTCCTTGGATCTCCTTTTGTCATGTCTCTTTTAATTAGCTCAGATTGGAAAAGTATTTAAGTAAGGAGCACATACTACATTTTGCAAGACTACAGGCTTCACAAAGCAAATTCTTTATCTTCAAAAGACAAGGGTAAAATCAAATAGATGTATCCTTATTTCTCCTACACCATCTGTTTTACATCTCTCTAGCTCAAAGGACTACTGCATTCCATTCTGTGCAACCTAAAACAGTATCTCCAAACCAACTCAACAGGAACAATTCCTGCTTTAAACTAAGGTTCTCCTCCAACGACAGCCACTTCTTTAGAGGACACAGAATTGTATTTATTGACTAAAATGTAAGTGTATTATTCATTCTATTGCTAAAACAGCAAAGTAAAGAAAGCATTATTTAAGCCTCCACATCACCTCGGGTTCTCTGTAGTTTCATATCCACCTGTGATTATAATTCATCTAGCACAAACCACTACCTACAACTATTTCAACTGCTTTTTCTTGATTACATGTTAATATAGGAAGACAATTATATCAATCTTTTAATAACTAAACACCAACCAAATTTGACCGTATAGACATGAAAGCATAGCATTGCATTTGAAACATTAAGAGTACAAGTTCATCTAGGTGACTTGCGGTACAGGTTCTAACTAATTTTCAGTTTCCCAAAGATTACAAAATTTAAGATGGTATGTCAGTACACATTACCATGACACGCTTCCACTCAGCTGAAAGCATGTAATTGCTCTGGTGAAAGTGAGAACACATTTTTTGGACAGCAAAAGACTGGCAAGGCTGAGGAAAGGCAGGAAGAGCAATGTATAATTATTATTTAGCAATGCGATTGTATTTTTCTGTTTAAGGCTCCTACGGGTGGACTTAAAAGTCACAGTTACGTAATTAAATTCATTTTACATATGAATAAATATCACTAGTTAAATGGACAGTTATAAATTGTAATGCTATTCACAATTATTTTGCCTCATCTTGTTAAAGAAAACTGTTAGATAAAATGGGTTTCTGAGTTCAAGAGAACATTGCAACAAACATGTAATATTCAAGTTATTTAAAGGAACAACTTAATTCTTTACACTAAAATGTGGCAAATAAGCTTGCCAACCACATAGCTTAAGAACTACGAAACAGCAAAAAAAGAAAAAAAAAAATCCCATTATAATGCACGGATTACCTGTGTAGTTTGGGGATTAACACAAGCACTAGGAATTGCAAGAGAGTTCATACTGGAAAAAAAGGACTATAGGAAACCTCCTATGTCCCTAAAAAGAAAGCCAGAGGGGTTGGTTTGTTTGTTTGTTTTAAACGTAGACAATTCAGAAATCTTGCATCAACATAGCCAGCTCCACCACTCAAGATGTCTTGGTTCTTGCTGCAGCTGTACTTCTGGTAAGGCTGTTCCAGAACCTGATGCCTGATCACCAGAAATATCTGTCCATCTTAAGCTGATAGACAGCTATCCCATCCCCCTCAATCATCTTTTTGCTAGGTTAAAGAAGCCAAGCTCTCTTAGCCTCCTCTTGTAAGACAGACTTTCTGTTTCACGGATGATCCTAGCATCTCTCTATTCGCCTGTTCACGTAAAAGTTCATTTTTCTTGAACGTGAGTGATCAGAACTGTACACATTAATCCAGATAAAGTTCCACACTGGTGCCTTGTCCAAAAGGATTAACATTTCCCTACCTCTTGTACTAGAAATACCTCACCTAATACATCCTAGGAGCACATCTACCTTTTTCACAGCTGTGTAACAGTGGTGGCTCATAGCAACCCTATGTCAAACTGATCTACTCAAATCTTTCTTCTCTTGCTTCAAGACAAAGAGTTTCAATTCTATTGAAGATTTGCTTTCCTCAATTTTCATTCAGATGAACACATTCACTAAAAAAAGTCCTTGCCACCAAATTAGCAATTTCACAGACCAATTTTGTGGACTGGAAATCATCCAGTTCTGCATAATCTGGGCACGTTCAACTCTATGTTAAACTGAAAGAACACAGTTCGGTACAGAGCTGTGACAGAGGGCAGTCATACTCAACTAGCAGTTTTTAACTCACACAAAGAAAAGTTGGCCAGCAGTTATTATATGGATTATGCTGAGAAAAAAGAGTTTTTAAAAAAAGGAAAAAGCTTAAAACAAGTATTTACCTATCTTTTTTGCTCTTCCCTCTTTGCTTCCCTGCAAGAATCCGTAGTTCTTCTTCAGTAGGATGCTGGTACCACCGTAAACTAAAGAAGAAAAAAATCTCAAGTAAAACAAAACCATTACTGGCAATTTACAGTGTTTTGTTTTTTTTTTTTAAAAAAAAAAAAAAGTATCTCAATACAAATCTATACGCATATGAAGACACTGGTCATTTGCAACACCTAAGCAAGATACCCTTCTGTGCAAGTACCAACCCTGCCTGAACTGAACAACAACAGTTAAACTTCAGTTCTCTGAAGTATGAGATGCTTATTCATAATTAGAAAGCTTTGCCACTTTGTGCTTCAAGTGAAGGGTTTTCACTTCTTAAAACACCAAATTCTCAAGTTATCGTCAAATACAGCAAACAAGGTTGTACCAATATTGGAAAAAGTTCACTAGAATAATTTTAGCATTACAATTATGCATTAGAAGTATATTCTGAACGACTTTATAAAGTATAATTTTGCCTCTCAAAAAAACAGTAATTTTCCAGAATCTGGAATAGCTATCATTAAACAACCATTACCAGTCTCTTTTCTTAGACAGAGCAGATCACAACATCAACATTCCTTTCCTAAACACCTCCTCAGTGATATCTTCAACTTCACTAGAAAAAGTCCTATTAAAAAACTAATTCACATGTAGATGAGCTGCAAGTTTTTCCACATTCACAAGTCAAGGCGTATCACAGAATCACAGAACGGCAGGGGTTGGAAGGGACCTCTGTGGGTCATCTAGTCCAACCCTCCTGCCGAAGCAGGGTCACCTACAGCATCATCCGTTGCTCATTTACTTAAAAGGCAAGTAGTGGCCAAGAAATGCCACTCTCTCCCATGAGGACAGGCTGAGAGAGTTGGGGCTGTTCAGCCTGGAGAAAAGAAGAGAAGGCTGCAGGGGGACCTTACAGCAGCCTTTCAGTACCTGAAGGGGCCTACAGCAAAGACTGGGAAAATATTTTCAGCAGGGCTTGTTGCGACAGGACAAGGAGTAATGCCTTTAAACTAAGAGAGGGCAGATTTAGACTAGATATTAGGAGGAAATTTTTTACCATGAGGGTTGTGAAACACTGGCACAGGTTGCCCAGAGAGGTGGTGGAGGCCCCATCCCTGTTAACATTAAAGGCCAGGTTGGATGGAGCTCTGAGCAACCTGATCCAGTTGCAGATGTCCCTGCTCACCATACGGGGCTTGGGCTAGACAGCCTCTAAAGGTCCCTTCCAACCCAAAGCATTCTGTGATTCTATGAAATTCTGAGAAGGAAAAACAGAGATGGTTAAGTCTCTAAGGCAGTATATTTTACCAGGAACCCTAGTAGCTGAAACAAGGCCATCTCCACATTCAATAAGGGAGGGTTACTGTCCAGATGCAGGAAATGTGTCAGTCCGACAGCCATTCTGCAACGCTGAGGCAAAGGAGCCCAAGTATTAACGGGAACAGACTTGGTAAATTTATGTGGAAGTACTTTTCTGGAGTAGGAGGCCACTAATTGGCGATACAGGTCAACACAGGGTAATAGTCAGATGATGATGGTATCCACCAACATCAGTTACTTCTCACGTTAAGAAAACCTCATCAAGTAGAACCGCTCAAATCTACTCTGGTGAATTAGAGATCATGTTACATCCAATTTCAGAAAGAAGCAAGGCAAATGTGGAAAACAAACACCGAACCCAAACAATCTCTAAGCCACTTGATCACACTTGATTCCCAGCTCTGCTCTGGAAAGGTTTCCTGACTCTAGTAGAAGTTTGGTCCCCCATCTTTACATTTTCAGAATATGACCTTCCATGTAAATATAAAAAATTCTGTCATTCTTCTTCGAACATTGTCTACACAACAAATACTGAGGGAGGTTCACTGCTACAAGACTTGTGCTAAAATCAGAAACAGTCCTAAATGCAAGCAGCCAGGACAAGCAATATCATGCACCTTCTACCCTCCTTACAATGGCATGGACGCTACTTGTGCACACATGCTGCAAGAGACACTGGATAAACACTACGAGGAAGAACACGTACAACTGCAACAAAATGTGTGCTATCACTGAGCATACGCCTGCCTGGCAGATCTTAAACAGGAGACACAGGCCCTCCGCCCCGATACTGTCCGTGACACTATACTAAACCCAGCTGAGCACAGGGAAGTGGGAATGAAGAGAAATGGTGTGACAAAAATACAACACATTTCAGGAAGAGCTCCTAGTTTTGGCAGTTTAATTGCAGGTACAATGAAGCATTAAACAGGCCGTTTCACAGAGCTCATGAACATTATCTTAAAATAACTTTAAAACTGGCATTAGTGGATACGTACGAGTTGAAGCCAGCAACATTACAAAGCATACAGGCTGGTTCATTGGGGGTTTTGGGGGTACATTGGGGGTTCCAGGAGCCTGTGTCTGTGGGTACTGCTGGGCTGAAGAATCAGCTGATGCTAGGATTTCTTCAAGAGAAAAGAATTTCAGTACCAACCAGTAATACATTACAGCGATCCAAATCGCTGCACGCTGCAAATTTCCCCCGAAGGAATTCACTGCCAGTTCAAAAACTGAAAATGGCAACTACGACAGGCTTTGCATGAACGGGGAGTTATGCGGGGAAGAGGAGGGGCTGAATTTGGTTTGTGGGTTTTCTGAGGCATCATAAGAGTGAAAGTTATTTCAATACTTTATTTTTATCATGTGCAGTCCCAGCTGAAAAATTTGCTGTTTGTTTGCAAATTTGCCTGCAAAGAGACTTCTTTTAAGACTGAGAATCACACAGAAACCACAGCAACAACCTTCGCATCCAAGAAGACAAACTACTTTGGAGATATTAACTTCTTCCTATCTTTCACATGACCTAGAGAAAGTGTCAGAAAGCAGAGAAACAGTCTTCTGCTGTGTCATTCACCATCTCCCAGACCCGAACCTGGCATGCTGACAGTACCACAAGTAGTTCTGCAATGATGAGAGTCACCTGTGTCAGAAAGCTAATTTTTCAAAATCTTCCCTGCACAGAGAAATAGTATCTAATACAGCAGAATACACAAAATTCTTGTTCTGTGTAACACACTAACACAAATCAAACACTTCAACCACAATTTGCTCTTAATTACACTACAGAATTACGTTGCCAGTGATTCCTCATTACAACGTATCAGGATGCAACAGTTTCAGGATTCTTTAGTTAGTAAACCCTACACACTTTGCATTTAAAATCTCAGAACCAAGAGACCTGAAAACACATTTTCACAAAGGCAGAGATAAAAAAAAAGTTCATATCTGCTTTAGCTTATATATGTTTAAAACTGAGATCCCACAACTGATTACTCTGTAGCTTTGACATATCCAAGTTAGTCTGAACAGCAACAGCAGCACAGATAGGCCCCAGTTAATTCCAGTGAAGGTCATTAACGAATGCACAACAAAACATCCATTTTCTCCTGTCTTCCTGAAGCAGCCTGAAAACAGAACAACTGAAGAAGCTAAGCAACTTAAAAGCAACATTTTTGTAGAGAATGTGTTATTAGTTAAAAATGCAAAGGCCTGTGCAGATACTTAGGCTGCCAGTTCACTGACTTCAATAAATACGAATATTCAAATTCTGTTCAAGCTCTGAAAATGGCATTGATAGAAAAAGTTCGTATTTCTTCTCAAATTTAAGTAATTTTTCAACACTCAATGATAGCTGTTCATTCTGTGAACGAATAATTATCTTACTTCTGTCCATTGTAACAATTCTTTTAAAATTTGAAATGTCTATGTCTTCTTGTAATAGACTTTGAACGTACACATACAGCCATTTTGAAACCAGCTGGTCACTTAAGAGTTGCTGGCTTGTCTGGTAATGTGTTTAGCCCTTGCCAAATGGGAGGGAGGATATCTACAGACATTTCAGAACTATCTTCTGCAGAAAAGCCTCCCAACCCTTTGGAAGAATGACGCTGAAGCCAAACAACTTAAAAACCAGTTTTGGGAATCAAAGACTAGTTGAAGTATATTGACAAAGGAAAGGAGGAACAGGTGGTAACTTCTAGAAAAGCTGGACTGCTTAAGAGTGCTGCTTCTTGTAGCTGTACGCTTAGGTGTGTATAAAACCCTGTACCACTCCGTCCACACAAGTCTGTCAAGGCAGTGTTGGCAAAAAGACAGAACAAAGGAAAATGGGTTAAACATAAAAGATAATTTGTCAGCTAAACTAAGAAAAGAACTGTTTTTCTTTCTGCCATCAAAATTCAGATTCTTGTCACAGTGAAGCTTCTAACTTGTTTTTATTTCTGGAACACAAAGTTATTCACAACGACTGAAATTACAATGCACTAAAATAGTTACTAGATGAACAGAAGAACACTGAAAAGCAACAATGAGATTTTCAAGGCTACTAACATGGAAGGCCATAATAAGACTCCCACTGACTTCAGTGGGAGCAGAAATCCACAAGCACAAGTGCAGAAGTCCTGCTTTATGTATTTATCAATCTGCTGAAGTGCAGACATAAAAGGAGAAAAGGATGACGGAAAAATATTTGAACAGCAAACCTCTTCCTATCATTGGCACAAGGCATGCCTCAGAACAAGGATACAGGAAGCAAAAATTTCACAAGAATGAAAACCATGGGCATAATATTGAGGAATTCTTTAAAAAGAGCAATTTAACATATAAATTTTGAAATAAAAGTTTAAATAAATCTTTTAAACATTACGTTAAAAGTACAAACTGTCATTTGAAGAATAACTGATAAAAAATTCTATGGTAGTAACACACTTTAAAAATAAGTGGTATGCAGTTTCATCTTAATTCATATAATACCCTTTTTAGAGCACAAAAAAGGTGATCAATACCCTGCAGATATGTTCAACAATGAAACTTCACAGGACATTTAAGAGTACGATTCCTGCTCATATTTTTCACCTGTCAATTACTGTTTTGCCATTACACCTAACCACTGATACCCAATATGCACCTAAAGAACACTTACAGTCATTTTTCATTAGCAGCTCTGTGGGTGATGAAATGGTGAAAATTAAACAGAAAAAAGTTAGTAATTTCGAGATGCAGAGGAAAAGAGGCAACGTAAAATTATACCAGACTGGTTAAGACTCCTATGGAGCTCATCATTATTCAAGGAAACTCCTTCAGAAATCATGGAGTAGAGATTTGGTATTCTCAAAACTTTAACAATCACAAAAAACAGCACACTACCTTCTAATCATACAAAGTGTTTTTCTTCCCAAATGAAAAAGCAGTGTCTATGATTTTTTTAATATTTAAGATACTGATTTATATTCAAAACAGCTCATGGTGTTCGTTATTACAGATACAGCCACACAGGGAATGCTCCCCTTGCAACCCATTATGTCTGTTTGATCTATTGTTATGAGGAAGTAGTGTATTGAAATTTACACTAATCCTGTCCCACGGAGTATTAAAAAAAACAGAATTTTTAATAAATACCTAAGCACTCTTTATATGCAAGGCTAATCAGCAGGTGGATTATGAAGAACACTGCAGCAGTGGAGAGAAAAAAATCCTTCCATTCTTCAATGTTTTGTATTCAGCTTACAGTATGTAGCTTGTGCTTTTAATATAAGAGCTGGACAACAGCTAACTTTATGACTGATACAATTAACAGCAACACACAAGTCTTCTTTTACAGCAACACTGCCTTCATACCTTGAGCCTGTAAGTCACGTTTCACAACGCTATGGTAATAAAATTAAAAATACAGGTTAATTACTTTTCAACAAAACAACCTAAATTAGTATGTTTTACTATTACTACTCTAATGCATAATAGTATTACCATATTCACACACCGTATAGCAACTGTTTCTTATCTTACCTGCCACTACAGAGAAGCCAACGAGCAAGAGAATAGTGAGGTATGATCTTCTGAATGACACTAGCCATTACCATGGTAACCACCAACTGTACACCTATCACACCCTGTAGAGGAATAAGTTAATAACAAGTCAATAAGTGCTTTAGAAAAGTGCTGACGTACCTTTAAAAAAAGAAAAATAAGAACATCTTGTATGGTAAGGATAACATTGTTTGTTGTTTTTTTTTAAACTGGAGGGGAAAAAAAACCACTACCTTATCAGTTTTTGAGAAATCCCCTGGAACTTGCTATGACCAGTTACGTGCTTCACCGAAGGGAAAAGGCATTGCCAGGTCACGAGGCCGGTAACACAAGTCCCCCGTTTCACAGGCTGTAGGGCCACATGCAGAAGTGGCATTTCGCAAGACATCAAGCCTTAAAACTACATCACTGATTACAGTCTTGGTTTTTGTGGTCTCTTCAGTTCTGACACGATTTAACAGCTGACACTGCACAAACCCACTGGAAGTAACAATAATTTACAACATCTGTGTCATGAAATTTCAGCCTTTGCCACACCCAGCTCCGGATCGGGATCTGGCACCGCAGCGGAGCCGGCGGCAATCTCATCCACAGACACTCAGCAAGCTTTCATTCTGAATAAGGGTTGTCGGGGTTTGTTTTTTTTTTAAGCAAAGCAACTTTAAACTTCTAAAGCTAAATAAGTGAAATACTGCATCGTTTAAAGTCATTAGAGTAATAAGTTTTATCCTGCACATGAAATTCTATCAGCTAACATCAACATCATGTTAAAAACCATCATGAAGAGCACGGACCATATTTCCTCTATTTACAGGCAAGATTTTCATGCTTAAAACATCACAAGCAATAGTAAACAGAAAAAGTGTCAAACACAGATATGCAAGGGAAATTTACAAAATCATGCAAGTGAAAACATACCAAGAACCAACCAGACAAGCTATTTCCACTCTCTTAGACTGTTTTTCAGACTACTTTTTCATGGAGAGGAAGGCAGACACTTAAATCGGCACACAAAATGCCACAGTTAAGTGGTGACATACAGAAGTTCATATCCACTTTCACTCTGGGATATCAACTTTTGGGTATTGCTACCTACTAACAGTATTTTGAAGATAAAGTATTTCCCTCTCTGTCTGTCGAAGCCGGGAATTACACCTCACTAGCTTCGTACTGACATAATGTGCTACAGAAGGTCAGGAGGCAAAAGAATCCACATACGGAAGCAGTAGGCAATTAACCACTGGCAAATAAAACAGGGATTCTCTCATACACTTGAGAAACATTTTCTCCAACACTCCCCAAAGGAAAAAGTAAGATCCACCCCTGAAGAACACCTAACCAGCAGCACAGCATGCGGTATGGCCGTTGTTGAAACACATCCTCTCCCACCTAGCACACCTATTCTCTTGGAGGACATATAACCACACGTTATTTTTACCAGAAGTTTCTCTGAATGTAAAGACAAACTGGAAGAGGAAATTCTTACAGAACGGTGGAACAGTTGAGGTTGGAAGGGACTCTGGAGATCAGCTGGCACAACCTTCCCTGTTAATAAGAGGGTAAACTCGTGCAGTTTGCTCAGAGCCATGTGTTCAGTCAGGTTTTGAATGTCTCCAAGGAGAGAGACCTCTCTAGGCAAACTGTGCCAGTGCTTGATCATTCTCACCCTAAACAGTTTTATAAGTTCTTATGTTTAAATTAAATATTCTGTATTATGCCCACTGCCTCTTGTTCCTTCACTGGGCACCACTGAGAACAGTCTCGCTCCACCTTCTTTGTTCAACCCCTTCAGGTATTTACACACAGGGCTAAGATACCATACCTGCTTAACCTTCTCTAGGCGCGACTTCTCCAGCTCTTTCAACCTCTCCTCATATGACAGATGGCCCAGTCTCTTCACCATCTTTGTGGCCCTGCGCAGGACTCTCTTCAGTAAGCCCATGTCTCTCCTGTACTGGGGAAGCCAAAACCAGACGTAGCACTCCAGTGTCTCACCAGTGCTGAGCAGAGGTGAGCACCTTCATCAACCTGCTGGTGATTCTCAGCATAAGGCAGCCCAGGGTGCTGTTGGCCTTCTTCGCCACAAGGGCTCACTGCTGGCTTATGGTCAACTTAATGACCTCCAGGACTCTCAGGTCCTCTTCTGCCAAACCGTTTTGCAGGTGGACAGCCCCAGCACGTGCTGGTGCCTGGGCTTCTTCCTCCTCAGCAGTACTGGCTTTTCCCTTTGCCGAGTCACATGCGATGCCTGTTGACTCGTTTCTCCAGCCTACAGCGGTCCCTCTGAATGGCAACACAACTACCTGATGTATCACTCCAAGTTTTGTACCATCTGCAAACCCGCTGAGGGTGCACTCTCTTCCATCTTCCTGGTCATTAACGAAGACGCTAACTAACACCGGCACCAGTATCAGCTCCTGTGGCACATCGCTAGCAACCGGCCTCCAGCTGGACTTTTTGCCACTAATCACAACACTGAGCTCAGCACCTCAGCCAGTTTTCAGTCCCCCTCACTGCTCATTTACGTAGCCCATACTCCATCAGTTTGTATACGAGTATGTTATGGCACACAGTGCTGAAAGCATTGCTAAAGCCAAGATAAACATTATACACTCTTCCCCTTGTCCACCAGGCTAGTCATTTCACTGTAGAATGCCACCAAGTTGGTCAAGCACGACTTTCCCTTCACAAATCCAAGCTGACTACTCCCAAACTCACTGTGTCTTTAATAACGTTTGGATTTAGTTTCCAGGGTTGTTTTATCACCACCTCAGGGATCAAGGGGAGGCTGACCAGCCTTTAGCTCCCATATTCTCACTTCTTGAAGACAGAAGTAACACTTGTCTTCTGAAGTCCTCAGCAACTTCCCCTGATTGCCACGACCTTTCAAAGACAGAGGGCAGCCAAAGAGAGTGACCTCACAACTCCCTCAGCACTGGTGGGTGCACCCCATCAGGATCCACGGACTTGTGTATCTACAATTTGTTTCAATATTCCCTAAAGTGATAGTCTTCCATGGAGAGTAAGCCTCCATTGCTCCAGATTCTCCTACCAGTCTTGGAAGCCTGGGATTTCTGAAGACAAACTTTATCAGTGAAGACTGGCAAAGGCAGCATTTGTATCTTGGTCTTTCCCATGTCCTTTGCCATGAGGTCTCCTGCACCAGTCAGCAGCAGGCCCATGTTTTCCGTCATAATACATCTGCTGTTGATACACTTGCAGAAGGTCTTCTCATTACCATTCACGCTGCACATCAAACTCAATTCCAGGTGGGCTTTGGCTTTCCTAACCCCACTTCTGTACACTCAGACATTTCTCCATATTCCTCCTGGGTCACCTGACTCTGCTTCCTTTCTATGTTTAAGTTTTGTCATGAGCTCCGTGTTCCTTCATGGATGAACTGTCCCTGGATGGACTGTCCCTGAGCTTGGAGGAGGCGATACTCCAAAGTTAACCAGCTTTCAGGCCAAAGTCTGCTCAGCTGAAGTCTAGGATTGTGACCCTGCTATTTGCCGTGCTTCCTTCTCTCAGGATCCTTTACCACCCAAAGGTGAATGCAGCAAAGGCTGCACTACCTTCACATCACCAATCAGTTCTTCCTCGTTTGCAAGTCTGAGGTCCAGCAAAGCACTTCTCATCAGCTCCTCAATCACCTGTTAGGAAACTGCCATCAAAGCACACAAAAAAATTCCGGGATTGCTTGTGCCCTGCTGTGCTGTCTCTTCAGAAGACGCTGGGGTGGCTGAAGGACCCTGCAGAACCAGCACCTGGAAACCTGAGGACTCTTCTCATTGTCTGAAGAAGGCCTTATCTTCTTCATGAATAGGTGATCTACAGCAGCCACCTACAACAACATCACCTCTGTTGCTCAGCCCTCTAGTCCCTACCCACAAGCTCTCAGATGGTCTGTTATTCATCCCACAGCAGACCTCTGCATCCCCACTGCTCTCACTTAAGAGCAAGTCCCCCTCCTCCCCAGCCCAGGCAGTCCTTCTAAAAGGCGTGCATCCACCAATGACAGCACTCCAATCGTATGAGCCACCCCATCACCCAAGAGTGCTAACCTCCCAGAAGAGGTATAAGACTTTCTTCCCCATAATGCCAGCCTCATTATCTGTGTGCAGGTATTTCCTTGTTTGTGTTTATAAATTGTGTGGGCCGTCTTCTGCCTTGTTTAGTTGTCAAGGACTCCACATCAGCCTGCACCCTTCACTTACCAACCCAGTCCACCACTTCTTCCTTCTTGATTTGTGAGTCATCACCTCCTTCAGTCCTAGTCTAAAGGCCTCAACACCACTTCGGCTAGCCTGTTGGCAAAGATGCTTTTGCCCAATTTGGTCAGGTGGATGCTGTCCGTTCCTAGCAGTCCTCGAACCTCAGAGACTGTCCTATGGTCATACAAGCCAAGTCCCTGCTGCCAGCCCCTGCTATGCAACCAGCTGTTAACTTCCAGCATCCACCACTCCTCATCAGCCTTCCCCCTCCTCACCAGCAAGATCATCTTTGGTCTTAAATACTGTACCAAAGAAAGTTCTCTTTTCTCTCTTCAATGGCTTTTTGGGTTTTTTTCCCCATTTGAATAAATCAGAAATTGTTTCAATACTGCTTTTATGAAAAAATACAGACAGATGAAGTGTTAAAATACAACTGAGGGAAAGTAAGCTAGCATAAATTACCTTTCAGCATTTGTAAACATTTTCCGTATGTTACCACCCATCTCATAACAAAGTGTCACCTTGAAGTACTCGTGACTTTTTTATAACTTGAAATAACACTTTGGGGGGGAGGTGTCAGATATCATTAACTTACTTTAGTGCTCAAGCCTGTCTTTGCTAAACCCTCCTCCTTCCTTGAAATTTCTACTGCTCCTTTACGTTGGTGCCATCAATTCTTTGAGGTACCTCAAAAAGTAAGACCTCACTTTTGCTTCTGCTCCATGTACCAAGACCAGCTTTCAATCTCAGTCTTCATCCCTGTACATGTTATTTTAAACACTCTACCTTTATTCAGGACTCTTCTCATCTTGGAGTCCCGTGCAATAAGATTACTCAAA